GAACATAGGAAAGTTATGTCTGATTCATTCTACTGTCTTTTTCCTTCCCATCCTTCTTGCCTTTCCTTCCCTCCCCTTTGTCTAATCCAATGAACTTCTGTACTTCCCTTCTCCTCCCTTATTGTGTTTCAGCATCAGCATGTCAGAGAGAACATTTGGCCTTTTCTTTATCTATTTATCTGTTGAAGGGCACCTAAGTTGGTTCCATAGCTTAGCTATTGTGAATTGAGCTCCCTATTCCTTTTAAAAAATATATTTTTTTAAGTTGCTTAGGGCCTCACTAAGTTGCTGAGGCTGGCTTTGAACTTGCAATGCTCCTGCTTCAACCTCCCAAACTACTGAGATTATAGGTCTGCACCAGTGCACCTGGCCTCTATTTTGTAGGTTTTTTTTTTTTTTTTTTTGAGGGAACTGAGAGTAAACCTTTTAGGGTAAAACTACTCTTAGACCATTGAGGCAACTAATCTCCTAAATGCCCTCCATACAAAGGCAACAAAGTTTAGTAGCTAGCATTTATTTAGTACCTATTCTAATGCCTGGAACTCCTTCATGGTGTTTTACTTTTATATATCATTTGATCCTCATAGCAACCTGTGTGAGGTGATTATCCTCATTTTGCAGCATAAATTGCATAAAGTTATACAAATATTAAATAGAGTTGGAATTTCAAACCCAGGTTTGCTAAGGTATAAGAAAACATTTGTATTTTAAAAGAGTTGTAATGTTAGATACTTAACATCCTGCAAAAAATTTCATTCTCTGTGTATTTTACCTTCATATTACTACATTGATTTTTAAATAAATTTAAARTTATAAAATAATATTGTTCCGTTTTTAAAAACTAAAGTGGCATACATGGATCCAAGAAAGCACAAAGAAGAAATTAGAAATCATCTCTTTACTACACGGTTACAACTGCTATCAGCATTTTGGTGTGTGTTTGTCCATGCATATGTGTATGTTTCTTGTATATACTCCCTACTTCTGTCACTTTTTATATATCTTAATGTGTCTCTCTGGATCTCTTCTTTTTTCTAAGTGGGGACTCTCGTGATCTCTCTAATCATTCTCTGCATAGTTAGGTAACCCTTGACTAAGCATGGGTCCCTGCTCCTGTCAGTCATGGTCAGAGCATCAGGATAAKAAGTTCTAAAACCATGACTGTTTTTCTCAAAAAATCTGTGGACTATTTAGTACAAATATTTAAGTTGGCCTGTTTTTATATTTAATGCTGTAATGAAAAATAACATGGAAGATAAATCTTTTTTATCTTTTCTTTTTGAGAATAATTTATCTGAAAAGGAATTGCTAGGACAAAGGATATGTACTTTTCAAAAGGTTTTGTCAAGTTGTTATCCCCTCTAGCAATGAGGTTTTGGTTTTTTAAATCTAGGCTTGAGTTTTCTAATCTTTATTATTAAATTATACTTTAATTGAAAATTTTCAAGAAATTATATTTAATATCAAATAACTAAATCACATGGAGAATAAGATGCCCCTATCTTTCAACAGAAAATTGTTTTAGTTGATATATAGGAATTCATAAGGAACCCTAGAAAGTGTTATCATTTTGTGCTATAAAAATTCCTCACTTGAATTTAGATATAAGATCAAAGATATGGACTTTAAAACTATTATTTTCTCATCTCAAGTTAGGGAAACTCCAGTTTTTATCTCCAATTTCATGGGACCAGTAGKCCTCACCTATGTCATAACAAGGCAAAAGAAGAGCTGGGGTTGTGGCTCAGCGGTAGAGCGCTCGCCTAGCAGGTGTGAGGCCCTGGGTTTGATCCTCAGTTCCACATAAAAACAAATAAACAAAATAAAGGTATTGTGTACAACTAAAAAATAAATATTAAAAAAAAGACAAAAGAAGAAAAATAGATGATGTGGTAAACACAATATAGACGCACAGTGATGTCTATTTCCTAATCTCTGGAACCATTAAATATAGTTAGATTATTCAGATGGATCCAATGTAATCAAATGAGCCCTGAAAGGTGAACCTCTCCCAGCTTAGGGCAAAAGATACTTAACACCCTGCAAAAAAATCTTTGAAATCACATAGATTTCAAGTTTGAGAAGGACTTGACAAACCATTGCTCTAAGATGATATACATGACCACCAAAAGGAAAAAAAAGAAAGAAGAAAAGGAAAAAGGTAACTATGTAAAGAAATGGATATATTAATTAGTTTAATTATGGTATATTGACAAAACATGTGGTGCACCTTAAATGTATATAATTTTTAAAAAATCATATAYAGGGCCACATGTAAAGGCTGGGAAGAGTCCTCTTGGCTAAGGACAAATGCTAACTAGCAGCTTATAAGGAAAGAGGGATCTCTGTTCTATAACGATAAATAATTGAATTTACCAACAGCCTAAATAAGCTTAGAAATGGATTCTTCTCCAGAGAGGAATGCAAACCTACCGACACCTGAGCATAGAACTCAGCTGAGCGATGTCCTGCTTGAACTTCTGACCCACAGAAACTATGAATAATAAATTGGTGTTTTTATAAGTTACTAAGTTTGTAATACTTTATTACAGCAGTGATAGGAGATTAATACACTGAATATAAGAAGTAATATCACAATATAATTTCTTTAGTACTAGAATAAAGGATCCATAATTCTATTTGTCTACATCATTTTAAAGTACTGTGAGTCAGACTGAGAAATTGAGTGGTAGTAAAAAAAGTAATAGTGGCAAGTTATAACTATGATTTTGGTTTTTGTTTATGCCCATGTTTTTCCTATGTCATTGTTGTCTTATTGTTTTTATGCATATTATGTAAAATTGCATGTATTTAGTTTTTCAGTTAATATTAGGGTGATTTTCAGTAAGATTCTATCATTTAGCATTTTTTTCATAATCTATAGTATTCAGTCTTTTTCCCTATGATTTGATTATCATATTCTTTGCATTGGACAATTTCAGGTAAATAAATACCTCAGACAAACTAAGGGATTTTCAGACAATAAATATGTTGCACTTAAACAATAATTTCACACTAAATGATTTTTTTTAAAAGCTGGATCTTGAAGATGGTTAACAGTTTTCATGAGTGTATTCTACCTTGAGTTTTCAGTAAAATATTTAATCTATTCTTGCTTTAAAAAGATTGCCTTTGAAATGAGCAGAAATAGAAAAAAATTGTGTAAATACTAAAGTATACAGTAATTTTTTAATTCATTCTTTTATTCCTTCAAAAGATATTTCTTAAATACCTACTATATGCCAAAAACAACTCCAGATACTTAGGATATGGTATGGATAAAATAGTTAAGTGCTACTGTCTTGGAATCTAGGGAAGGAAAAATTAAGGGAGACGATGTTTACAAAGAACAYGTATCAGGTAGATAAGTGCATACTGGGAAAATGTCACAAGATAAGGGGATAGAGAACAATGAAAGGGGTTCAACTTTACATTTAGGAAAACTGAAAATATTAGTGTTTTAAATTTGTAGATGAATGGAAAGAAGTCACTTCAACAACATAAAGAAATAGTGAAGAAAATAGTTTAAAATGTGATTTTTGTGATATTTCATGAAGAGTTAATTTAGTCCATTAAAGTAATCAAACTTTTATTCTTCTTATAACTAGTTTTGGCTGGAGAGGTTTGTACACTTGAAGTATATTATCAATTCTGCTTTATTTTTATTTTGTTGGGTGGCATTATGATATTTATTCTCAATGTTAAAATATCAGTCAGTAATCATCCATAGACAAGCAAATATGCCTAACATTGATTTAACTGCCTTCAGTTAGTAAAGGTAAATTATTTAGGAGTGGAGAGATATTGAATAAGTCTTGTTGACATCTGTATAATCAACATTTTAAAATATTTTCAAATGTATGATTTTATTCAGTGGCATTCATGATTGTTTGCACATAAAATAGGTAAAATGGCTTTCTCTAAAGAAAATAAGGTTTACATAGATAAATGGCAAATAATATTGTAAAACAGTAAATAAATAAATTTCAAGTTCTTGAAGTTGAATTGTTAGAAAATATTAGCAAAAAAAAAAAAAAGAAACTAATGTTTTAAACAAAGGAAAGGTTTCTTCCCATTAGTTCCTCTCTCTTCCTTTCTGTCTTAGAAAATATTAAATTATGGGCTATGAATCATCTTAGAAAACTTTATTTGAAAATGAATTCCACCTCTTGTACTAACCCCTACCCAACTTGTTTCTGCCAGTGAATGTGCTAATCATGTTTTAGAGTTGTTTTATGATTTTCCTGGGGTCTGTGATGATTTGCTAAGAGATACTATGATGTRTGTAAAGTCCCTGCCTTCCCCAAAGAGTGTATAAAACTGCTGCAAAAAAGAAAGAAAGAAAACGTTATTTTACTAAATTTCCATTTCCTAGGATCCTAATTTCCTAGGATAGCATGTTTGTTTAAAATATTCTGTCAATACTTAAGACACAAACTCCCAAATGACACTATATCAAAACTCTGCACCACACATAAATAAATAAATAAATAAATAGTCCATTGACAACTAAAAATTATATAAAAAGAGAATTTCTTAATTTGTAATATTTTAAGAACTTGTGTGACATTTGTCAGAGAAATTTTTTTATGAAGATACAATGTATGTGAATTTTTTTTTTTAAGTACTGGGGATTGAAACCAGAGGTGCTTTACCATTGAGTTCTGCAACCAGCCCTTTTTATTTTTTATTTTGAGATAGTCTCACTAAATTACTAAGGCTGGTCTCACACTTGAGATCCTCTTGCCTTAGCCTCCAGAGTCCCTAGRATTACAGGTGTGCACCACTGTGCCCAACTGTATATGAAATTTTTAAGATGTGCTTTGTAAAGTAAGATATAGGACTTAATGTTAGGAATTATCCTCTTCATCTTATTCATAGTCCAATGTAAAGCATGACAGTTTTCCACAGAGGTTATGAATATGTTAGTAAATATTTAGAACATTTCCAAATGGTCACTTCCAGTTTTAATGCTACATTTTATTTTATATTTTTTTCAGTGAAGAGATATGGTTCAGAAGCACACATGAATAACTTTGGTTCATCAGAGTGAACATTCAATAATGAGTGGTGCAGCTTTGGGACTCGAGATTGTTTTTGTCTTTTTTCTGGCATTATTCCTACTTCATCGATACGGAGACTTTAAGAAACAGCATAGACTTGTAATTGTTGGAACACTGCTTGCTTGGTATCTCTGCTTTCTTATCRTCTTCATACTGCCTCTGGATGTTAGTACGGTAAGATGCGAAACTAATTTTCGCAATTTAGAAAGCAACTGTAATTGTGCAGTTTGTTTGAGATATATTATTTTTAAGACAGCTGAATTGTATAAGGTTATACTTATATTTAGAATTTAAATGTTATTTTAGGAATTTCATTGTTAAACAGCATAGCCAGGAAGGTAAGTTTTGGTAAGCAGATTTACCAACTCTAATATCCCTTGAGTACTTGGTAACTTTTTGATTCTCATTGTTTAAACCATGTATTCATTGCTTTAGACAATATACAACCGGTGCAGGCATGCCGCTGCAAATTCCAGCCCTCCTGAAAATAACAGTACAGCAGTTGTTACCCCAGTTCCAAGGTATGTATTTCTTTTTTTTTAATRTAACTATTGTAGAGAAAATTGCTTAAAAATTAGCAGTTTTTATCATCCAGATTGTGTATTTAGAAAAGTTATTTTCTACTGATCTTCCCATTTTCATTCTTTGCTAGTAGTTATTTTATTATGTGGTATTCTAAACTTTAAATATTTAAATCTAAGCTTTAAATACTTAAATCTAAACTTTATTGTTACACAGGGCCTTTCAGTAGATGATAGCGAGAGCTTAAGAAAAAAAAAAAAACAACTAATTGTTTGCTCTGGTTCTTCCCCTTATTAAATGTGTACCTTCCAAAACCTTTTTCCTCTTCGTCTGTCTCATATCCAAAAAATGGAGCGGTTGGGGTTATGGCTCAGTTGTAGAGTGCTCACCTGGCATGTGGGAGGCACTAGGTTTGATCCTCAGTACCACATTAAAACAAAACTATTGGGTCCATTACAATTAAAAGAATATTTTAAAAAATAGAGCCTAGACTTTCTTAGATTTTGGCACCATTACTAAATAAATAAAGGAGTATGCATTTTCTCTTTTGCCTAATTTACAAAGTTGTTATAAAGAACAAGGGGGTTATTCTCTATGTAAGATACTCCTTTCATATTTCATATCCTGTTAAAACATCATACTTTTTCAGTAAGAAGGAATAAAATTTAAATTGTCAAAAGATTATATTGAATTCATATTATATTTCCAAGTAAAAAAATAAGTCTATGTTGATATAAGACTTTTACCAATGTTTTAGTATTTGTGTGGTTATTTTTGCAGCTTTTATAAAATATTCTAACTTGAATAAAAGTAAATTTAAAGTGTATATGCTTTTTCTCTTTGATGAACCATGAAAAACTAGATATAGACCAGAAGCAATTATTGCATTAAAAGTCTTTAGACTAAAGGATATAGGAAGATTATTAAGTGGAAGAATCTATGGTCAGAGACTCATCATCAGAAAATTCAAGCAGATGCTTGTGTGTATGTCCACAGGAGCTATGCCAGTGTGACTAATATAATTTACATTCCAATTTCCAGGAATTAATAACCTAATGACTTCTCTTGCCCGACCCCTTCTGCTAGATAGTAATAGCAAAACAAAACATAACCAACCCTACAACTGGGATCAGTCTTTTTACCCAATGATTAAAAATACACTGCAGTTGGGCTGGGGTTGTAGCTCAGTGGTAGAGCGCTTGCATCGCACGTGTGAGGCCCTGGGTTTGATTCCCAGCACCATATAAAAATAAAACAAATAAAAAATAAAGATATTAAAAAAATACAATGCAAGTTGAAAACCATAATCATTCCTTTTTAGAACAAACTGTTTTGTATCATGTACATTTTTTCTGTTTGACAGTCAGCTTTGAATTTTAAGTTTTTTCCTGAAATTTTATGAAAATCAGTAATTATTAACCTGATGTAAATGAACTTTGCCACACAAAAATTAATTATATAATTCATTTAACTTAAAATTGTTTGTGATTAATTGGCTTTAAATTGTTATTAAACAGCCAACATCCATGTTTTAAGCCATGGAGTTACATTCCTGATGGAATCATGCCAATTTTCTGGAGGGTAGTATATTGGACATCACAATTTTTAACATGGTAAGTGACAGTAATGGACAAAATTTTTAAAAATTTGGCCAAAGTAAACCAAAATATATGATAATTTCTCAGTGAACCCTCATATTTTGCAATTTATTCATATGTTACATATTGTTTCTCTTAACTCTGTATCTTCTTTCTGCCAGCTCATGTCTCTTTTATCTTAAAAAAAAAAATGAAACAAAAAAGAAGAAAAGGGAAACAGACCAAAAATATAGAGAATAGAAAAAAGTTTTCCTGGTCACTGTTTCCCTGCARTTATTGCCTTTTTTTGTGACCCTCAATCTAGTCTTCTTCTAACCCATTATTACATGAAACTACTCTTGCTAAGGTCACCATTATTCTCTGACTTTCTGTCTCTTTATCCCAACCCTCTGAATTTTCTTCAGGGGAATTTCCTTCATATTAGTCTTCCCTAAAATTTTATGTTTGGTCATCTTATCTGACTCTTCCTTCATGGCTTTGAATTGTAGCCATGGTTTCATGTATCCAGAATCTTGCTTTCTCCCCATTATAGCTTTGTCCTTCTGCTATGCACTAATCTCAAACTCACTCCCTACTGAACATCTCAAGATATTCTGGAGGCAACCAAACTCAAATGGGAGGTGGTGAACATTAAGACAAATTGCATAGCAGAATAAAGTAGTGCCTCAATAAATTCATGCTTGTTAACCATCTGGGCCCTCAGTGTTGCCAGAATTTCCTTCTTTGCTTCATTAATCTGTTTGCCTATTCTGTACATCAAATATTTCCTTATTATTTAATTTTTTGAGTTCTTTGTATACTCCGGATATTAGGGGTCTATCTGAAGTGTGAGGAGTAAATATTTGTTCCCATGATGTAGGCTCCCTATTTACCTCTCTTATTGTTTCTCTTGCTGAGAAAAAAACTTTTTAGTTTAAGTAAGGCCCATTTGTTGATTCTTGTTATTAACTCTTGTGCTATGGGTGTCCTATTAAGGAATTTGGAGCCTGACCCCACAATATGTAGATCAGAGCCAACTTTTTCTTCTATCAGATGCAGAGTCTCTGATTTGATATCAAGCTCCTTGATCCATTTTGAGTTAACTTTTGTGCATGGCGAGAGAA